GCGCAGCCGGCGCAGATGCCAGCGCAGCCGGCGCAGCCGGTGCCGAATTTCAGCGTGCCGGGGCTGACCCCCCCCTCCTCGCTGATGGGGATGGCGCCCAGACGCTTGGCAGTGCAGCGCAAGCGGTGATTGAGCAACGCAACACCAGCCAGAGTGGTTCAGTATTGTATGATCTGTGGCTATATACTGACTTCATAGTCCACCTTCCTTTTGTCAAGGGTAGTAGCTGCGTGTTTGTGGGGTACGCACCCCAAACATGTACGGTCACATACCCCTTATGATCATAGTCCATACCTTTCGATATTTTTCGATATGTGGCTTGCTGGGGTACGCAGCTATCTGCTTTTGTTTTTGCTGAGGGTTTTGATTTGCATTTTGACTGATTCCCGGGATGGCCACATATATAGAAGCTTCCTGCGGAACACGCCCCTTGTGGTAGATCAGGTCTGAGTCTGTTCTTGAAGCTTCGTTTTTCAGTGGCGCCATGTTTCATGTTTTTTTCCCCTTTTTTCCGTTGTTTGTTTTGTTTTTTCTTTATCTTTTCCCCACACGAGCTGGTGATGCCCAGAAGGCGATTTCGTCCTTTTTGTTCTACCTTTTTGCTGGTTGCACGTGAGGACATGAATTTGTGTGTGTGTGTGTTACACAATCTTTCTATAGTAGTTTTCCTGAAACCTGTTTGCCCTGTTGGAATCCACCCGAAAAAGGGTTTGCTTAGGTTTCCTTAGGTTTCCTTCTTTGCCAGCTTTTCGGGTGGCTGGGGACGTGATCACCCCAAGCTCGCTCGACGCCCGCGCCGCGCCGAACCGCGCCGAACCGCGCGCCCGCACGGAGGAAGCGCCTCGCGGGGCGTGTCAGCCGCACCAAGCAATCTGGACGGCTTCTTCTCCAGCGGTGGAGCTTTCGCTGCACCCGCGCAGCCTGCGGTGCCTTGCGGTTTTGATTTGGCGCAAAGTAGGCTATACATCTACTGTATGATATTTTGTACACCAGAGTGTGTAAGATTGTGTCTAAAGCAGTCGGACCCTTTAAGATAGAGAGACATGATGTCATTTTTTTTGCACGGGTTTCCTTGTTCAGACACTTCTAATCTTCCGATTTGTTGTGATCAGCAGGCATGATGGTTGACCCCTGTCGGCAGACTTTGGCGAGTTAGATTTCGGCCAAGGTTTTAGCGGCTGTACGGAGTCTATGCAGTGTGTCCAAAGTTCCCTCTACATTCCTGTTTTGCTCGTTTTACAACGACACATTTGGAGCCAATCTTTAGGAGGGGTGCTTTCCCTCTGCTTTCCCGCTTGGAACTCGGGCGAAATCGGTCACACTGGTTCAAAGTTTGAGCCGGCCCAAGAAAATCTGAGAGGGAATCCAGCACCCAGGTCCATAGCAACCCGCTGCTTTTTGGGCAACCCGTACCAAGAGGTTTAACATCGAAGAGCACTTGGGGGGTGCTGCCTTCGGAGCCCATTTGGAGGGCCCTTGACAACCAAACCTACTTGGCGCTGCTGCGATCTATAGGAATTTGGCAGGGCTTTTTTTTTGGGGGGGAAGGGGGGGCTTGACAACCATGGCATTTTTGTCATTGAACTGCCCCGGCCGGGTTCGGAAATCCTGGACGGCCAGGTGTCACCTTGCTATGCACCAGCAACTTCAAGCGCCATTCCGGCGTCGGCATGGACGTCTGCTTACAGCCCGGCAACCGTGGGCAATAGCTACACCACCGGCAACTTCCTGCAAATCCGACCATTTTCACCATTTGCTTTCCTGTGTTTTTTTCCAAGCTCCTAAAAAGGTCACCCTTTCTTTCGAGCAAGTGAGGCAATGGCTACGCTACGGGCAATAGCTACACTACGGGCAATAGCTACACTGCGGCCCCAAGCTACACTGCGGGCCCTAGCTACGCTGCGGGCCCTAGCTACGCTGCGGGCCCTAGCTACGCTGCGGGCCCGAGCTACGCTACGGGCCCGAGCTACACTACGGGCCCGAGCTACACTGCGGGCCCGAGCTACACTACCACAGGCAGGAATGACACATGTGACAGCAGCTTCATCATACGAATCGTCAGAAGCTTTGCTGGGGCTGTTGTCATTTCAGGTTGCTTGGGGGGGTAGTTGTTACTATTTTTCGAGTTTCTATGAATGGAGCCAGAATGTGACCCGCAGAAAGAGTTTCTACTTGTCGCGCGCATGCCAGATAGTCGATGCTTGGGGTATGGTGGGGCCGTCGTAAAATTGAACACAGGCACTCCGGTTCCCGGAATGCTGGCGCAGGCGTCTACAGTGGGATGCCGACGCCCAGTTATCAGCCTCGTTATCGCGTGATTGGATGAGTCCCATAGCGAACTTATATCGCCAAAGGGGACGCGAACTCTTGGCATTGAGCAACTTGAGATCTGCCATTTGTCTGCATTGCAAGTTGCAAGCTAGCAAACTGGCTGCGGGTGTGAAGTCTAGTATGCTTGTTACATCAGAAGGCGGTCTTCAAGTTTGCACGAATTGGGTTCACTCACGTGGCTCTGTGTCAAAATCAGGCACCCTCACCGAGAGGGATGGGAATATTTTGGCACGGTGCCACAGAATCACGCCTGGGATGCCAAATCTTCGGCAGGTTGATCAAAAGGCACTTGATGCGCCCACTACTTTGGCTCCCCGGAAATTCAGCTCAATGATCGATCGCCTCGGTATAAAAAAGTCGTTGCCACTCTTGGAAGTTGCATGAACTCTGCCGGTTGCGCGTTACTTGCAAGTATCCCCAAACCCTCAATACATTATATGCAAGAGGAGGCATGCCCCCCCCAATACATTCCAATGTATGCAGCGGCCCCACATCAGTTTATGTCTTCTCTCTTGTCTTTTGTTTTGTTTTTGTTTTTTTTTTTTTGGGGGGGGGGGCGGCTGATGTATTTCTGGAAGCAAGGGCTGCTGTTGTGAAATCGATGAATCCATGGGAAGTGAGAGGCAGATGAGCTGGCTCCCGGTCTGATGGCAAACATGGATTCCGGCTTTCCTGGTGGTTTCCCTTACCGAGGTGAAAGAGGGCCCCCAAAAAGCCTCAAATGGCATAGCGTCTCAAACTGGTTCCAAACCTTGTTCAATAGCTTTGAAGAGAAAGAACACCGTTTAACAGGAAGCCCATTCAGCATTCAACGGTTGTCCAATATGTACATATATATATATATATATACGTATTGCTGACAGCTTCTCGTGGCACGCGAGGGGTGGTTGGCGAAGGCTTCGGGATGTTTGGTCTGTTAGGGACCCAATTTGGATGACGAAACGCAGGTTGTCAATGGCCATATTGACCCAATTAACCAGTGTTTTATTGGCGTTTGGAGTCGGACGGGTTGTCCCAAGTTTTCAAGGGTACCCATTGGCACCCCATTGTCCTCGGTGTTCTGAGTACATGATTCCACGCCTTCCATGTCTGGCCCGTTCCACTGTCATAGCAGGCCACCCTGTTTTGCCAGGCTAAGAACCACTAACCCCCCCCCCCCTCACCACCACTATATACCCTTTTTATAGTGGCTGTATATCCCATGAAACCCTTGCAGGTAGTTGATTGAGAGTTAGATCTAGAGTCTTTGGCACTTTCTTGTCGCACTTTTGGTTCTGTAGCATGGGTTTTGGATAGCCCGCCAAAGCCCAAACACTTTATGCCTTTAGCCTTTACCTACATGTATCCTCCAAATGTCAAGTGTTGGTGTATATGTACAATGATATAACCCCACATGGACTGTGTGGGTGTTTTTTGTGTCTCACATGTTGGATGCGGTGGAATCTCTGGGTAGGTCACATGACTCAGCCGCTTGAAGTTCTCGTTTGTTCGCTCGATTCATTGTGTCGCTAAGACCTTGAAAGCAACATTGCTTTCCGACCTGGTTAGGCTGTACCCAAAGCGCCCTTGGTCGGCTTTTTGGGTCCGTTGGAGAACCCACAAGGGCCCTTCCACTAAACCACACCATCATAACTAATCGCTTGTTTGTTGCATTTGTGTATTTTGCAAGACCCATCCCAATAGATTCTCGACTGCGAGTCTGCACCCTCAAACGTCCCAAAGATATGGGTGAGCACACGAGCAGGGCAACGCTTACCCACTTACCAAGGAGCAAATGAGCAAAACGGGTGTCTTTTCTTGGGGGGTCCCGTTTTGAGTGGTTTTAAAGGGCCCACAAAAAGGACAACCATTTTGGGGGTCCTCCACAACAAAAGAAGACCGACCCAACTGGAGGCTTCCAATGACGAGCCATACCATGCTTGCAGATCTCAAGCAACTGGTTCCTTCAGCTTCATGCATCAAGGGAATCCTGGGCAAGCCTTAAGCGAGCAGCCAGCTTTCCAGAACTGTCCTTTTCTTGCTGGTGCGATAGGCAGGGAATGAGGGAATGAAACAAGGGATTCCCTTAAAGGAAACCATAGGGGATGGTGTATAGGGTCCATTCCCTCATTCCCTACTGGGCACCAGCAAGTTTGTTTCATCCACTATTCACACGTTTTTACCCACTCTTCACGCATTCAACCACTTTAAGCACCCACTTGTTTACTCATTCCGCGATGTACGAATTTGGTCTCCCATTGTTCACCATTTCCTCAGTTGTCCATTGTTTACCCGCTTGGCTCACCCGACTTTTTACTTGTTTTCATCCACTTTTCCCCAGTTTTCCAACGTTTCGACACCATTTTGCCCAGCTTTTTCCACCCATCAAATACAAAGAAGGGAGCATTGGTGGGTTCCTCAGTCTCCCCCTTGCCAGGGATGTTCAATCCTTTTTTGTCCCTTCACCATGGTCCAAGTGTCCCAACTTGTGCTGCTTGATTCACTCGAATCCCAAAACATGATACGCTGCATGCAATATTTAGCCACACAACAACCCTCCAAATGGATCAAACGGTGGAAAACCTGAATTGGGTTTGGTTGAGGCTACCCTTTTTAGGCTTCTTCAAAACGGAAAACCGCGGGGTAAGACACATTGGGCTGTGTTCTTGTTCGCCGTCGCTCGACGTGAGGCGTGCCAAAAGGCTGCCACCTGGCGCTGGGCTCTGCAGCTGCCGCGGGAGGACCAGGCGAGCCGCAGGGGTGTTGACACCTTCCAGGCTTCTTCGGTGTCTAGGATTTTTTCTTTTTTCGGTCTTTGAACCAAGTGGTTTTTGTGAAAGGCAAAAAGCAACAGTAAGGTTTCCAAACACAGATTTGCTCCATTTGGGTGCTCGCACCAAGTTGTTTTTGTTTGAAGCAAAACACAATAGTAAGGTTTGCAAACCAGATTTGGTTCCACATGGCATGGTTTCGGCCATGGTGGGAACCGTAAGGTCGATGGCCATTTGGTTCTGGTTGCTCGTGGGTGCCGGATTTCGTCATAGTAAGGTTCTATATACCAAAAGTCTACATCCAGTATGCCCTAACTTGTCTGCTTTTTCCACAATGTCCAAGATTCCAACTAATAAATTCCTGGATAGTAAGGTTTCCATAAACCCGAAGTCAATAGTAAGGTGCCCAATTTGGTATTGTTTCGGCCATGGCAACCCAACTTGCCAACCATATCGGGAGATAGTAAGGATTCTACAAACCTTTCCCCAACTTGCGCCTGCTTTTTCAACTATTTTCAAAATTTCATCTGGTGGTGGAGAGGGGGTGCTGGATAGTAAGGTTTCTACAAACCTTTGCTGCGTTTGAACCCAGATTTGGTTCTACATCTAGGTCCCCCAGTAGTGCCCTTTTACCCTTTTTTCAGGGAGGGTTCCCCTACGAAAATAGACTACCGAAAAAAGGGTACCCTTATTCTAAGCTCTCTACTGGAGGACCGAGACATAGCAAGGTTTCTGCAAACCTTCTCTGCGTTTCTTGGGCCAAAAAGCCAAGCGGCCAATCTTGTCGAGGTGGCCCATGGCGCTGCCATCAGCGCCTGCGAGCGCGGCCAGCGGAGGCACGGAGAGAGAAGCTCTTTCAAAGGCTATATATATATATACTTTAGAGCCTCCGGCTCAGTCCGCCGACATTGTCCTCTCCCTTTTCTCCTTCTTCCTCTCTTCCTTGTCTCCCTTGTGTGCTCTCCCTCCCTCTGCTCCCATCCTCCCCATCCCCCCAAGCCTCTCTCTTCCCAATCTCCCTCTCTCGTATGTATGCATGCATGTACATAAGTATGTATGTATGCATGTATGTATGTATGTATGTATGTATGTATGTATGTATGTATGTATGTATGTATGTATGTAAGTAATGTAAGTGTAATGTATGTATGTAATGTAATGTAATGTATGTATGTAATGTAATGTATGTATGTATGTATGTATGTATGTATGTATGTATGTATGTAATGTAATGTAATGTAATGTAATGTAATGTAATGTAATGTAATGTAATGTAATGTAATGTATGTATGTAATGTAATGTAATGTAATGTATGTAATGTAATGTATGTATGTATGTATGTATGTATGTATGTATGTATGTATGTATGTATGTAATGTATGTATGTATGTATGTATGTATGTATGTATGTATGTATGTATGTATGTATGTATGTATGTATGTATGTATGTATGTATGTATGTATGTAATGTAATGTAATGTAATGTAATGTAATGTAATGTAATGTAATGTAATGTATGTATGTGTATGTATGTATGTATGTATGTAATGTAATGTAATGTAATGTAATGTATGTAATGTATGTATGTATGTATGTATGTATGTATGTATGTATGTATGTATGTATGTATGTATGTATGTATGTATGTATGTATGTATGTATGTATGTATGTAATGTATGTATGTATGTATGTAATGTAATGTATGTATGTAATGTAATGTAATGTAATGTAATGTAATGTAATGTAATGTAATGTAATGTAATGTATGTATGTATGTATGTAATGTATGTATGTATGTATGTATGTATGTAATGTATGTATGTATGTATGTATGTATGTATGTATGTATGTATGTATGTATGTATGTATGTATGTATGTATGTATGTATGTATGTATGTATGTATGTATGTATGTATGTATGTATGTATGTATGTATGTATGTATGTATGTATGTATGTATGTATGTATGTATGTATGTATGTATGTATGTATGTATGTATGTATGTAGTGTATGTATGTATGTATGTATGTATGTATGTATGTAATGTATGTATGTATGTATGTATGTATGTATGTATGTATGTATGTATGTATAATGTATGTATGTATGTATGTATGTATGTATGTATGTATGTATGTATGTATGTATGTATGTATGTATGTATGTATGTATGTATGTATGTATGTATGTATGTATGTATGTATGTATGTATGTATGTATGTATGTATGTATGTATGTATGTATGTATGTATGTATGTATGTATGTATGTATGTATGTAATGTATGTATGTATGTATGTATGTATGTATGTATGTATGTATGTATGTATGTATGTATGTATGTATGTATGTATGTATGTATGTATGTATGTATGTATGTATGTATGTATGTATGTATGTATGTATGTATGTATGTATGTATGTATGTATGTATGTATGTATGTATGTATGTATGTATGTATGTATGTATGTATGTATGTATGTATGTATGTATGTATGTATGTATGTATGTATGTATGTATGTATGTATGTATGTATGTATGTATGTATGTATGTATGTATGTATGTATGTATGTATGTATGTATGTATGTATGTATGTATGTATGTATGTATGTATGTATGTATGTATGTATGTATGTATGTATGTATGTAATGTATGTATGTAATGTATGTAATGTATGTATGTATGTATGTATGTATGTAATGTATGTATGTATGTATGTATGTATGTATGTATGTATGTATGTATGTATGTATGTATGTATGTATGTATGTATGTATGTATGTATGTATGTATGTATGTATGTATGTATGTATGTATGTATGTATGTATGTATGTATGTATGTATGTATGTATGTATGTATGTATATATGTAATGTATGTATGTATGTATGTATGTATGTATGTATGTATGTAATGTATGTATGTATGTATGTATGTATGTATGTAATGTAATGTAATGTAATGTAATGTAATGTAATGTAATGTAATGTAATGTAATGTAATGTAATGTATGTATGTAATGTAATGTAATGTAATGTAATGTAATGTAATGTAATGTAATGTAATGTAATGTAAATGTAATGTAATGTATGTAATGTATGTATGTATGTATGTATGTAATGTAATGTATGTATGTATGTATGTATGTATGTATGTATGTATGTATGTATGTATGTAATGTATGTATGTATGTATGTATGTATGTATGTATGTATGTATGTATGTATGTATGTATGTATGTATGTATGTATGTATGTATGTATGTATGTATGTATGTATGTATGTATGTATGTATGTATGTATGTATGTATGTATGTATGTATGTATGTATGTATGTCGGTAGGTAGGTAGGTATGTATGTAATGCATGTATGCATGTATGTATGTATGTATGTATGCATGCATGTATGTATGTATGTATGTATGTATGTGTGTAATGTATGTATGACATGTATGTATGTATGTATGCATGCATGCATTCATGCATGTATGTATGTATTTCCCGCAAAAAAAACACGGTTTTTCCAGCGTTTTCGCAAAGAGGACGTCCAAAAACATTGAGTTTTTCCAGATTTTCGGCAAAAGGATGCAGGAAGCCCAAGCCAGCAAAAAAGCCGGCAGGGGGAATCGAGCCTGGGACCCCTGTTTTGCGACACCGGCTCCCCGAAGACTACGTTTAGTGGAACGTCATCAAATTGCCGCGCGGTACGTGGGGGACCCCCCCCCCCCCCAAAAAACCTACGTAATAGACGTCGGGCGGGGGGGGTTAGGGGGGGGGGTTATCCTATCCTCTAGTAAGTATCCGATATATTTATATATTATAAATGCATGTAATCTCACATGCTGAGGGTCATGCAAAGGGGGGGGGCCACGGAAAGTGTCGGCTTACAGCTGGCTCTTTGGTTTTCCCCCCCTGGTGCTCCCCTGGTGGGAGACCAGGGGTGGGCCAACCGGAGCTCACCCGTCCTCCCTGTGGGGAGGTGACATCACCAACGTGGTCTTCGAGGTCTACGTGGAGAAGTTCAACTACACGGGTGAGGTCTAGGCTCCAGGGGGCTTGAGCTGCCTTGTGGGGAGCCGAGGGGCGGTTGAGGCGCCCACTCACAAGCCCTAGCTTTGGAGCGACCTCTGGAGATGACCGACCGGGAAGTGAAGACGTTGGAAGATGAGTGGCGACTGGCTGGCGGAACTACCCAAGGTTGGGCAGATCTACTGAAAGGCGGAATTTACGCCATCAAAGGATGTTGGATGGATGGCCATCTCAATGCTGGAGTGCTGGTGGATCTAGCCGACCAACTACTGACCCCACATTGCCTGGTGGAGTACAAGTGCGTGGATGCAGGTGGAATGATCAAGGTGTGGCCTTGGTGGAGGTGCGTGACTGGCACGACAAACAGCAGAGGCTGGTGAGAGCCGAACATTTGGCAGCCTCTGATGGGTACTATGAGTACTATGCCGGCCAAGCTCTCTCTGAGGATCGGGCCGGCTACCACTTGTGCACTTGCAGGAGCCGGGACTGCCGTCTGAGGCCCCCATGTGGGAAATTGTCCACTTGGACCGCTGGAGGTTGAGGAGCCTGGGGCAGATCCTGAAAGAGCCGTACACCAGGGAAGTTGGCATACGTTTGCTACAAGAAGAGGTGAGCCGGCGAAAGGCCGAAGGGCTTGGGTCTACTGTCGCCGTGCCGCCCCCAGGAGAAGCGCCGCTGGCTGAAGCCTTTGGAGCTGGAAGGGGCATGAAGGATTTCTGGGCGAGAGCAAGAGGCCAGGAGCCTGACGTCAAGGAGAGGTCCCGCTCCAGGAGGAGAAGGAGAAGACGTAGCGACGACCTTGGCGACCTAGTGGAGAAGAAGCGTGAGAAAAGGAAGAGGAGTGGACCACGGCGAGGCACCAGGAGTTGATCCCTCCTTCAGCAGCATCAATCTCCGGGCTGGAGGAGCGGGGCCTGGCGGCCCGTGCGGAGCTCAAGGCAGTCAAGCTGAGGGAGGCGTTGGAGAAGCGAAAGAAATAGGAGGCAGGCGGCGGGCTGTCCTCCCCCGTGAGGAGGCCCGTGACGCCACCCGAGGAGAGAAGCGGAGGGCAACGAGTGTCGTTTGAGAAGGAGGAAGCCAAAGGCAAGGAGTGGGCAGGAGATTTGAGGAAGGCTGGAGAAAGGCCGAGGCCCTTTCAGAAGGGAGCCGGGCGATGGACGAAAGGAAAGGGAACCTTCAAAGGAAAGCATAAGGGTGGAAGTATCGGCGAGGAAGCCCGGAAGGTGGAATTGAGGGAGAGGAGTCCGACACCGTCAGCCGTGAGGCACCCATCGAAGCCGAAGTGAGCGAAAACGGGTCTGCGGAATAGAGTGACGGGATGGATTTCAGGAGGGCGCTGACGGCCTTGCAGGCTTGGGGGGGTCGACCACCCGGCTGCTGGCCTGAGCATGCCAAATGGGCATGCACTTGTGGCTGCAAATTGTGCACCACCCGAGCCCACTTCTGACCTACCTTCAGGGCAAGATGCTGATGCCCAAGCAGGGGAAGGAAGGAGGCTCCCGGCAGAGGGACCTTCTGCCACTTCTGGCCAGACGCCGTGAAAGCGGCAGACCGAGTGTGGTCCGAAGGCAAGTTCAAACACCTGAAGGTTCAGGGCAACAAGAGTGGGAGCAAGGCACGCGCGAACAGCGAAAACTTGGCTTGTCAGTGTGGCACTTCTTGGTGGTTGGAGTCCTGAACTTCTTATGGGGAGGATGCTCCGGAGGACCTCATGGCCGGCATCCAGCCACCAAGGCGCAAGAAGTGGCCTCACTACGCCCATGGGAAGCCATCAAGACTTTCTGTGATGAGAAGAAAC